CATAATCTTATTTATGTTTTCTAGATCAGCTTTGGAATTGAAATAGGTTAAGAACAAAGGTGGGTGAGATTATAATTTATGGACGACATTTGAGCAACGCTAAAGTGACCTTGAGAATGTTCACCTACTAACTGGGACTAAATGAGGGTTATAAAACAGTGTGAGGAACTAGACTTATGATTTACAATTGGTGGTTAGGGTTTGTAAATAGATTTAGGGTTTTCATCACAAACTGACAACAGCTAAAATGACAAAACACTATTTAGTTAAATGGATGACTGAATTTCTTGCAAAAATCCAAGACCTGTTATCTTATATCTGATTGGTTCGTCCTCAAATCATAGTCTCGCCACCGCTTCTTTATACCATTGAATACCTTCAGAAATTTGAACACAGTAAAAATGATATTTCTTTCAAATAATAGCAGTTTAATTTTACTATGTATCTTTCTCATAGTCTAACTAATATGAGACAAATCTTGTAAGTATATTTATTAGACATATTAGATTACTGACTTATTAAGACAGAACAATGCTATCTAGTATAATCTATATAGTTGTTACAGAATTCAATACATGGAGCCATTTATTGGTTTGATGTAAAGAGACTACGAAAGATATTTAACAATGTGTTTGATGTTGCTGTTATTTCTGAATAAGAACATAGTTCTCAATTTGAACGAACTTATGTATGTTAGATTAATTTTTCCAAACTATATTTCGGTAACCTGTAAAATGGCTACAGAACAACTGTGGTGATCGTACTTTTACGAGTAACGCATTATTACATAGATCATCTTTTGAGCTAGGAGAGTCTTTTTAATTTGAGTTCTCGATTATTCTTGATTAGGTTTCATGCTTCAATTTCGCTAGCTTATATGTTTCATGAACAGCATAGTTATGATCTATAAAGGGATTAATATCATCATGGTGGCTTCCAGGTTATAACGTCTATATAAATTTTATTTTAATTTCAGAACAGATGGATCATTTTAATGTCAATTGTCCTTCTGTATACTTGAATTAGTCAACTACTCATCTGTAAATTTGAGTAATTTTTTTAAAATATGTGCACGATGATAGGTATGTGTCTATTTACTTCCTTGTATTTTGCTACATGTTAAATCAACTGGATCACCTTGATATTCTCGGACCCAATGTATTACTGAATTTTCATAATTCATATATTTGTTTCATTTCATATTGCTTTTCTGCTTTTTGATACTCGTCTTCACGAAACACACATCCACTAAGTAAAATCCGTACTTGACACTTTGTATCTGCGTTGTTATTAATGTAATTAGTTTAAAGAAATATATGAAAAGGAGTACGATATATATATATATATATATATATATATATATATATATATATAACTGGAGGCGCTCAAGCATACCGTGCTGCTCGTCTTTTGCGACAACTAATCAGCTCATGTCACGTGCATTTCTAAATATGAAGTATTTTCTAAATATATCCTCACATTCCTGCATTCATGACTTCCATCTACACTGATTTTAAGATGTTTATATGGATAGACGTTTTGGACAAGAACGTTGTCAAACATTGTAAATCTATGGCATCTTTTGTTGATTTACGTCATTCCAGTTTTCGATATTTCATCATTTCAAGCGTTTGACTATAACATCTGAATTTGCTGGTTTTTTAACATTAAGACGTTGATAAGAAATGCCAGAATGAATAGTTATTGATAAGTATTCTCGAGTTAACGCGTTTTGGAGTCCATTCCACATCCTCAAAGCAACCATACTAGTTCAAGGGCGGATGTTAAACTATCTCACTGACTTGCAGCTAGTGTGTTGGTAGTAAAGTATTTTAAACGCAAAAGAAGGCAATACTGTCACCTTCGAAAAACCAGTGTCCTATGTATGCGGACACAAAACGCTTGTACCATCTTATGGTTTCAGAAATGGCCTGCACATCTCTATTTTTGGATTTTACTGAAATATTCGATGTTTCATTGCACGCTGTCCTATCATCAAAGATATAGCAATCAAGGTTCACAGATTAACTCTTTTCGTCGTTAAAGAACTAGCTTCTGAATCATGCTTACAGCAGGTTGCATTCAAATAGGAGAGCGTAAATGTCAAGAGTGATATAATGGCTCATCTTGGCCTTCCTAATGTTCTTCATATTTATTAATAGACTCGCAAAATTTTTATTTGTCGCTACAATTATTATCTACGAAACCGAAATTTAGCCTTTAAAAACTATCAGATATCAAGGCGATTCACAGAGGGTTTAGGGAAAACTAGAGCAACTGGAGGAGCAGATTCAACCCTTCGAAAAATCAAATGATGTTCTTGGCATTCTAGATAATCACCGAGCCACATACATCTACTGGAATATCACCCCTCTGAAACTCCAGTGAAGATTGGCCAGGAACTATTATTGAAATGAAGCCTGGGGACTAGTCACAACTGTTCTGGGATGAATTTATAACATACACCATCATTATCTTCTTATGAAGACGGGCGAATATACTATCGAATTCTTTTCTTTTAGGTTTAGTCTTCACACACGGTGATGGCGTTGGTCAAATGGCTTTTCTCTCACCACTTGGGAGAAGTGACCATGCAGTCGTCTTATTCAAATTCATGGCTGAGATTGCCTGTCAAACAGTTGCGACGGCCCGTCCTAATATATGGAAGGCAGATATGCAGGCAATTAACTCCGCAGCATTGACTGAGAACTGGGAAATTGACTCAAAGGCATCAGTACAAGAGGCATGGACTCTATTCAGGCAGTTGTACAATCGGGTAACTCAACCATACATACCCTGGACTGTCCCAAAGAAAAAGAAGCACGGACATCCCTGGATAGGGCGGGATATTCGACGTTTACTAAGACAAAAGGAGAAATGCTGGGGTGTTGCCATCCGCCTTGGCACAACAGGTACGATGGAACGCTACAGATTGATAAGAAACGAGTGTATAACGAAAATTCGGGAAGCTCAAAGAAAATATGAAATGCAGTTGGCACAATCTGCACTCAAGCAGCCCAAGAGAATATTCTCATACATAAACTACAGAATAAGGATGCATCATTAGATTCCCAACCTAATTAAAGAAGGGAGTGAATCTGAAATGATAGAGAAAGATCAGGAAAAAGCAGAGGCTATGGTTGACTATTTGGGGCAGTTTTCACTCAGGAACTTCCTCTAGACAAAGAACCAGACCCAAATACAGAGTCAACAAACCAGCTGCTCACCGTGGACTTCGACCAAAACGATGTGCTTAAGGCTCTTAGCACCCTGAACATGGAGAAGCCAACAGGACCAGATGAACTACACCCCAAAATCTTGAGACATTTTGCCCAAAATATCGCAGCCCCACTGACTGTGATATTCAATATATCACTTGACCAAGGTGTGTTACCTATGGACTGGAAAAACGCAATCGTCACTCCCATACATAAAACAGGTCCAAGACAAGTTCCATCGGACTACAGACCCGTAAGCCTCCCCAGTGTTGTAATTAAAATACTGGAAAGAATAATCAAACGGACCATAACGGTATTTATGGAAACCAATAACTTGCTGAACATGGCACAACATGGTTTTAGAAAGGGTCTATCCTGTACAACAAATCTCTTTATAGCAAGGGAGTTCTGGATTAATGCGCTAGACAGAGGAAACTCAGTGGATGTTGTCTACATAGATTTCAGTAAGGCTTTTGACAAGGTGCCAACTAATAGACTGCTATCGACGTTGGAAAAACTTGGTATTGCCGGACCTCTTTTAAAATGGATTAAGGATGTCCTAGTAGGCCGTAGACAAAAAGTAAGAATAAATTCCAAGTGCTCCATCTGGAAACCAGTACTTAGTGGGGTACCCCAAGGTTCCGTCCTAGGTCCTTTACTTTCTATAATGTACGTTAATGATCTTACAAGTATAGTACAGTCTCCAATGTTATTATACGCTGACGATGTGAAAATTTGGCGAGTAATAACTGGAGACAAAGACGCATTTGCTCTTCAGGCAGACTCAAATAATATGATAAACTGGTCCAAAGAGTGGCTGACGCCTATCAACGCGAAAGTTTGTCTACATGCACTTGGGGGATTCAAAGGTTAATACATACAACATAGGGGATGTGTCATTACCCGTAGTATGGTCTCATAAGGATCTAGGGGTGACAGTAAGTAAGAATCTTAAGACGACGGCCCATTGCCGGGAGGTCGCAGTTAAGGGGTTTCGAACCCTCTGGGCTTTAAAAAGGACATTCACTAAGCTTGATACTACCATGTTCATCACATTATACACATCCTTAGTGAGAACTAAGTTAGAGAACTGTGTTCAGGCTGCAAGCCCCTATTTAAAAGGTGACTCAGACATACAAGAAAAGGTACAAAGGGCAGCTACGCGTGCAATTCCGGAACTCCGGGGTTTGTCATATAAAGAGCGGCTTGAAAAACTGAACCTCTTTACTCTGTCCTATCGCAGACTAAGGGGAGATCTAATATTGATGTACAGAATACTGAGAAATGATTTCGGACCTAACTTATTCTCTCTCTTTCTTCCCACTAGATCGGGACACCTCAGAGGACATAGCAGGCGAGTAGAAAAGCCAAGAACGAACAAAATACCCGTGGCATACAGGTTTTCACACCGAGTCATCAATACTTGGAACCTGCTGCCTGAAGCAGTGGTGTCCACACCTTCAATTGACTCTTTCAAGAGAAGACTGAACACTCACAGAAGCGTACTAGAAAAGGAATAACATAGGCCGTAGGCCTTTTGTCCTTAATATACAAATCTGGATCAAATCTGAAGTTCAGTAGAGTCTGTACATTAACCCACTGAATGTTAGCAAAGACTTGGAACAGTAAGTTAACCCTCAAAATGGAGCTCAAATTTTTCAATCGCTTATGCTATATAATTCCAGGTATATGAAATATTAAAGATGAAGCTTGATTGTTTAGAATAACCACAGACCAAGGACACTCAGATTACAAAATCTTGCCGCGTAAATTATCGGACAGATGTCGGCAGTCTATCGGGCGGTAATTTCAGCCGTTGATAAGAAGGTTCCTGCTCGAATCAAACCTTTATGGGATCATCCTGCGGGACCTAAAACCATATTTTTCTGGGCGCCTACTTTCAAATGGGTTGGTTAACATTAATCCACAAATTACTAGTTAATTAAAGCTTCTTGTTATAGCTGGTTTAGCAGATATTAACCGACCAGTCCAGAACGTCAGTTTATACCAAAGCACAGCGCTTGCAGCAACAGGTCTTATATGGTCTCGGTATTCTATGGTTATTATCCCAAAAAATTACAACCTTCTCAGTGTAAACGCCTTTGTTGCTCTAACTGGATTATATCAACTAGCAAGAATCGCTCAGTAAGTTGTTTCAGTCCTTTAAAACTTTTCAGTTATGAACGCTCTAAGTAGAAAACATCAAGCTCAATAATCAGGGAACCCTAGTTTCTCTTGTTACTTGGATTTGGGATATATCTGCATATGCAAATCTTTATTGGTTTATCATGCAAAGAACTGAATTTATGTAGTAGTTAATATCAAATTACCTGTGACTTTGGTCACACATATTTCCAAGATGTACTGATCTTGAGTTTTATTCTATCTTACTAGTTGTGTATCAATTTTTGTCCAGTAGATATTTTTCTTTTAGTTACTTGATCATTATTAGTAATATTACTCTAACAAAAAGCACTTCAATATTTGTGATTTACACTAATTTTCCTCGTAAGGAGTTTTGATATTACAAACTGTGATTGCAGAAAGTATTTTCTGAATTTCACCAACCTCTATATAAACCTGAAAATATTTAGTCATGTGAATTAGATGACTTCCCATATTTAAAAATCGTATAATTTCTAGAAGTCGTATTAGGTGTGTATTTTTTCACTGTTTGAGTCATGGAACAATTGATTGAATAGAGGATATCGTTAGTACTAGCTGCTGACTTCATTTTTCTTAATAGTGGAATGTTTCTCCATGCGCTACCTTTAGAATAAAATTTATTGATGCGCAAAGATCTGCCTTCTGATAACTCAATCTAATATAAAAAGTCGTCTCAGTTAGTTCTGAGCATGTGGACTTAAATTGTGTACTCGCATATGTTCGTTTTATGTGTTAGGGGTGATTAGTTTGTTCACATTAATTTAGCGTCATGCAAACGCGTCTTACTGGACGTAGGAAAGACGCTGCAAGGAAACCTCTTATGGGCCTACCTAATGATAGTCAAGCTAAGAGTATATTTCAGGAACAACTAGGAAAACAGTTCGGCAGCCATATAGGTGATGCCCACCCCGAGGCAGCATGGAATGATATCCGAAAAGCTGTGGAAACAGCAGTGATATCTGCTAGTACGGTAACCCGTAAGGTTAGGGAGAAACACTGGATCTCAGCAGCATCTATCGCACTGATAGATGCTCGGAAACTCATTCCACCTGGCTCTGAACATAATGAAGAGTGGAGTCAGCTTAAGCGCAAGCTGCCAAGAAGTCTACGCAATGATCGTGAACGGTGGTGGGTAGCGAAAGCAAGAGAGATGGAAAAGGCAGCGGCAATAGGTAATGGCAGACAATTGTTCAGACTTGTTAAGGAAACCGGTATTAAGAACACAACTGTTAGTGAAACTATCTCGGAAAAAGATGGACATATTATACATTCTGAATCCAGGAGATTGGATCGATGGGCAGAACACTTTAGGGATCAGTTCAACTGGCCTTCAGCCACACTTCGGTTTCCCACGATCTCCAGTCGACCTGAATGGTTAGTTAGTGTAGGTCCTCCGACTCTTCACGAAGTTGAAAAAGCTATAGGAAATCTGAAGCGAGGGAGAGCAGCAGGCCCTGACAGGTTTACTCCTGAGATTTTTAAGGATGGTGGTCCAGTATTAGCAATGAGATTAACCGAGGTCTTAGGTAGAATTTGGGAACTGGACGTAATCCCATCTGACTGGTCTCAATCACTGATTGTGCCAGTCTATAAGAAAGGACAAAAGTCCTCTTGTGACAATCACAGAGGAATCAGTTCGACAAATATAGTATCTAAAATATTAGCTTCAATAATACTTCGACGCCTAACTAAAGCTCGTGAAGAGCAGACTAGAGAAAATCAGGCTGGTTTTCGACCTGGACGTGGTTGTATAGACCACATATTCACACTACGTCAGGTTCAAAATCGTTTGCAATGGCGCAGGTGCATACACTCTTTGTGTTCTCCCAAATTTTGATCTCCTTATTCTTCGTCTCTCTTTTTTTCTCTACCCAAATTTATTTCACTGTATTATACTCTTTAAATAACATCTCCAAACACTAATTTTCCTGATTACTGCTTATACTCTTATTACCTCTACCACTACGGGATTTGAATCGACCACTGCATCTCTGTGCTAATGTGGTGTGGCAACTCGAACTGATGTACGTACTTACGAAGTTCTACGTTGTTACTGACTGAGCGTCATGCAAATGCTTCAAAGTTCTTGAGACAAGTTTGATTTCCGTTCTTTGGATCACCTCTCCCGATGTGTATTTAGAAAAGGACTAGTTTCTGGCACGTATTACCCTAGTGTTGAGTTTAGTATAGGAGATATCTCGACAACTATAGGATTTACATTTTATCCAATAGGTTCTTAAACCTTTCTCAGCTACTGCACGAGTGTACGGTGGTTTTCAAGTCCTGGACGCTGTTAGTCTACAGGTGACTATGTCTTTACGGTGGGTGACGCAACATTATTCGGCTTGGTGACCACATTATAGTCTTATGTCATTTGATGCCTTCTACTACTATATTTCTTGAGGAATATACCTTTGACTTCACAATGGAAACTGGGATTGACTAAGACAAGAAGCAGTTCTTGTCTTCTCCAAATGGCAACTAATTGTTCTACACATTCTACTTCTATGAAATAGGATCTCAGCTAGGTTTAACAAAATTTTCTAGGAAAAGTGCCGACAGTCCTGATTAAGTGGAATGTTTTATTTTATTATTTTATTTGAACACATAAATATTGGTACAAGAGAGCGCCAATATATATGCGCCACACAAAACAATGAGAATGGGAAGAGAAAAGGGTAAGGAGCTTAAAGGAAAAAAAGAACAATAACGAACAGATTAGTGTACGGTAGTGTAATAATAATAATAATGGAGGGAAACGGAAAGGTACAATCGGAAGTCTTTCAGTTGGGGAAGGTACAACAACTTTTCATACAGAAAGCAAACGAAGATTACAGCAGGATCGCCACTGGCTTCTATTCTGAGCCATATCTGATAACGTCTCTAGCCACTGCGTCGCACCATCTCTCGGACCCCAACCAGGGAGTCGTGAAGGGCCAACACAAGCCAGCCCCTTGCAGCTTCCTTTCATATCCCGACACCATGTCATACACTGACCACCTCTCCGCTTTTTCCAACCAGTCCCAGTGTCGGAAAATGATGCCCGACGTGGAATTCTCTGGGACAACATTCGTAGAACATGTCCAAGCCACCGAAGTCGGTGTTTCAAGATGGTGACACCAGTTGGATTATCGTCTCTGCGCCCAAACACACGATGCCGAACCTCTGCATTACTAACATGGTGTTGCCACTGGATGTCAGCAATCCTTCGGAGACAAACGATGATCAAACACGGAGAGTCGTCTAACATCCTCAACTCGGAGAGGCCAGGTTTCACAAGCATAGAGCAGAACTGCTCTCCCCGATGCGTTGTAGATCCGACGTTTTACAGCCAGACTAACATCACGAAGACGCCAAAGATGGCCCAGATTGGCATAAGCCGCTCTGGCTTTCACTATACGTGCGTTGACCTCATCACTCACGCCACCACCAGCACTTATGCAGCTACCTAGATATACGAACTTCTCGACTACTTCTATCTGCTCACCATCCAGGGTGAGTACAGGATTAGAATACTGCCAGTCTTGTAAAAGTACTTTGCACTTCGAAGGTGCGAAGCACATATCGTACCTACGGACACTGATTGCCAACTGATTAAGTGCGGATTGCATGGCTTGGGCATTATCGCACAGTAAGACAATATCATCCGCACACTAAAGGTCGAGAAGTCTTTCTCCAGGCAATAGATCCACACCGCCATTACTTACATCCATCAGAACTGTTTCCAGAATGTCATCGATGGCAAAGTTGAAGAGGAATGGTGAGATTGGGCAACCCTGTCTGACCTGACTGTTTGAATGGAGCAGTGGAGAAAGGTGGTTGTATGCCCCCACTCTGCCTGAGGTGTTTGTGTATAGGGATTTTAGGTTGCTAATAAACTTCTCAGGCACACCCTTCTTCAGTAGAGAATCCCAGAGAACAGACCTATCCAACGAATCGAAGACAGCCCTGATGTCAAGAAACACTACGATTGTTGGCCTTTGAAAATTATGGCGGTGTTCTAACAGTTGGCGGAGAGTGAAGATATGAGCAATACATCCTCGACCAGAACGAAATCTAGTCTGCTCCTCGTGAGTCAATCTCCCTCGGGTTTTGAACAACCTACGAAGTATGACGGAAGTCAATAGCTTGGATGCAATCGGAAGTCGACTTATCCCCCGATAGTTGTTACAGAAACGACGTGAACCCTTTTTATAGATAGGAACAACTATTAACTCAACCAATACTCATCTATACTTTTCGGTGGAATGGTAGCTAGCCTAGAAGCTAGCTCGGTTTGATACTTAATTGCAACAGAAGTTGCAACCAGCTTGCTAACATCAATCCGTTGGTGGCGGTCACTTCGTTGTCCACGAAAAGTGAGGTAAGATTGGCGCAGACCAAAGCATGATCAGAGTCCAGATAGGTACTCCAGAAAGAGCGGCAGTTTTGTACACAACCACGCCAGCGGTAACTGATCGAGATGTGATCAGTCTGAGTACAGGCTTGGGATGCAGAGGGAGGACGCCAGGTGGCACATCGGCGATGACTGTGCCGAAAGTTAGTGCTAGCCAGAAACAGGTTGTGGTCTGTGCACAGTTGCAGTAGACGGCCCCCGTTATCTGTCCTGCGACCAACAAGTCCCCATCGGCCACCTAGACGACTCTCTTCTGTACCTAGACATCCGACCTGAGCATTCAAGTCTCCGGCTAGTACTACAATATCTGTCGAACGCACTTTCTGGAGAAGAACAGATAACTGGTGGTAAAACTCATCCTTGATTGCATCCGGGCTGCAATCTGTCGGGGCATAGGCGGAGATGACGAAAAGACATCGTTTCTCACGCCTATTTCTTCTCACTTTGATGGAACTTTCTAATCTAACAGCACATAACCGACTGTTAATGGGGATCCAATCGACTAGTGCTGCCTCAGCTCCAGCGCTTAGTGCGACACCAACGCCAGCAAGACCAGACGAAGATGCCACAGGGTCCCCGGATAAGCGCACGTAAAACAAGCTTTTCGAAGCGACAGATGGAGAGCGAATTTGTAGTACTTCACCAGAGTCTTGAATACGGGTCTCGGATAGACAGCAGACATCGATATTACGACTTTCCAAAGACATAGCCAGCCCTATGTGTTGTCCAACCTGCATAAGTGTGCGAACGTTGAAGGCAGCCAGTTTGAAGGGTGCACGTGGTTTCAGAAAAACTGCTTCAGTACTCATATTCAGTGGTAACATACAATTTTCAACCGGACAGTGACTCGAGAACGTTTAGATACAGTCGAATTTCCACCAAAGACGAGCCGCTGTATAAGTATAAAAGAGGGTGAATAGTGTGGTAAATAATAATAGTAATAATAATCATTTGGATCATTTGATTGTTATTCGAAGCGAGAAAAGTAGTTTCCACTGATACAGAGAGTTCATCATAATTGTGTGTGGGCTGCGATACTGCCCGGGTGCCCAGACCGAAGCAAGTGGTTATCTTAGGAGGCCACACCCCGAGCCTTTGACCTAAAGGTCTAACCCACAAGGCAGTGGAGCATCGTAAGGAGATGCAGTCCCATGGGAGCCGGTGACCAACGATTGGTTCATACGCCATTTGTTCCCGCAGGATACTGGAGCCCATGTGCACCATTGGTTTGGGATCCGGTTAAAGCGCCGGACATTCGCTTTTCGTCCTCTCATTTTCGTAAACAACACCCTCGCCACGAGAAGGCAATGAGTAGGACTTCCCTGGCAGAGGCTGTATACGCGTGGCCGTGTGAGAGTATTTCGAGAGGGAGAGCGGACTTTCCTCACTCTCCGCCGTACCAGGGCATTTGGGGGTTTAAGTGGAATGTAGTAACAATTCTATTGACTTCTTGAAACCAACCTCGCTGTTATCCATGGACTGAGTTAACAATGTTTCTGTTATTACGGTTGTACTCAACCTATGAGAGTCCGTTAGGGTCCTTTCTCCGGTCTTTTATTAAGCAAAGTTCGAGGATTGAGGTGAAGAGCCTAAAATCCATCCTAAATACCTTGTGCCACGCCCAGAGGGTTTTCGGGACCATCCATCCTGGAAGCCTGACACATCAGAAACTCGTTTATTTGTGATGCCTTTCATCTGCTTCCAAACATATATTTAGCTTTATCGTTCTTTATACGACAAGTGATAGGTCCTTACAGTCATGAAATCTTGATCCATAGTATTTATTTTCACTTTAATTTTATCCACCAACTTTTCCATTGCCGCGACCGCCCGTACATTAGATCGTTATTGCATACTTTCTGTATGTTTCAGACTAGCTGACATTTGGGGAAAACAGTTTAGAAGACATTTTACGATACATTCTTGATGCTGAAAACGAGTTTCAAGCTCAAAGTTTTAATTGACCCTATGAAAGGCACTTGACCTTTTTAAATGGTCAGTTCTCGATCAGATCTAAACCGTATCTTTTGTGAATGGGGACTTTAAATTCTTGACACTTGTACTCAGTCTTTTCAGGAGTGAAAACCAATGTCCCGTCCAAATTATTCATTGGATTTACCAAAATTTATCTCGGATCTGATTCTGCCCTTACGATACGTTGAAGTCTGTTCTGCCGAGAACTGGCCGTCTTTGACAAACTGACTACTTACTGCATTGAATCCAATATCCTGATGATAATGGCATTGCTTCTTTTAATTCAATTAATCTTTTCATGAGGTAATCTATCTTGGTATTCCGATTTTGCTCTTCTCTCTTTAGGAGCTGCATTGATTGCTAGTTAATAGATCTTCTTGCCCACGGACATAATTTAACTGTATTCTGAGATCCGGAATATTTTTCTTTGTTACGTGTTCCTTAATTACATTTAAAAGTTGAATGTCTGTTAAGTGGGAGACCGAACATTTCTGAACACCACTGTTGTCAGAGCTTTTTGTATCCCACGTTATTGGACTTCTTATACAGCACACTCGTAAATTTCATTTAAACGTCGTCGTATCAACCTATGCACTTGTCACGCTGTAACATTGGTTCATGGAAAGCATTAGCTCGGGTATTGATGAGCTCGCATTTCATTACGTAGTAATCTACGTTTATCGTAAAATTTGCGGTTAGCGGAAGTAGGCCGACGTATCTCAATGAGTTGTAAAGAGTCTGTATAAACCCAGCGCTTATAAGTGGGAAGCTTCGTGAAGCTGCAGGCGACTATATTCGCCATTTCCATGGCGTCATGTAAATGTAGCCAGTGCTCATCTATACTTTTCGGTGGATTGATGGCTAGCCTTGAACCTAACTCGGTTTGATATTTAATTGCAACAGAAGCTGCAATCGGTTTACTGATATCAATCCGTTTAGGACGATGAATTCGTTGGCCACTGAAACGTAAGATAAGATTGGCGCAAACAAGGGCATGATGAGAATCCAGATAGGTACTCCAAAAGGAGCGGTAGTCTTGTACACGGCCATGCCAGCAATAGCTGATCGCGACGTGACCAATCTAAGTCCAGGTTTGAGACATAGATGGAGGACACCAAGTCGCACGTCGGCGATGACTGCCGAAAGTTTGTGCTAACCAGAAACAGGTAATCTGTGCAAAGTTGAAGTAGTCAATTGCCGTTATTTGATCTGCGACCAACGAGTCCCTATCGGCCACCTAAACGACTTTCTTCTTTTAAACACCCTACTTGTGCACTCAAGTCCCTGGTTGACACTACAATATCTGTCGAACTCTTTTTCTGTTGAACAACACTTAGTTGGTGTTAAAACTCATCAAGATTCCACGGAGTCCTTTTAAGTACATATTTGAAACGACCTCGAAGCGACAAATGGAGAGTGAACTTGTGCACTTCACTAGTCTTGGATACGGATAGGCAACAGACGTCGATGATGTTAAGACTTTCTAAAGACATAGCCACCCTATCTGTTGTCCAACCTACATTGATGTCCGAACGTTGGAAGAGTCCAGTTTGAATGAATAATGTGTTTTAAAAAGACTGATCAAGAATCATCGTTGGTTGTATTCAACTTTCAACCAAACAATGACCTAAGGAAATCTAGATAGGACAGGACCCGCAACATAGGTGGCCTGCTGTATGAGTTGAAAGTTAAAGGGATAGACAAAATGGGAATAAAAGGGAACTAACAAGTGATATAAACTAGTGTTACCAAATAATTGTAAATACAATTTGTGAGAACGCGAATTGAAGCGAAGGTAATTCTTTTCGATTCTGATTAGTGTGTGGATTAGGTACTGCCCAGGTGCCTAAACAGAACTCAAAAGGTCTACATAGTTTGCGTTTATGTCGTGCGGCACATGAGAAACATCAAGTTAGTGTCTTGTAATTATACCCCATTAGCACATCAATTGAAAGAAGTACACCCTTCCTCAAAATAAACTGGTTGCTAACAATATGGTAGTTGTTGTACGACGTAGAGTACTGTTTGAAACCAGTCAGTTAGAAGGTATTATCCTTGAAGCATAAACGAATTATCCTCAGGAGTTGAAATTGCTATCGGGAAACAAGTACTGAGACTGTCTTTATCACTCGCCTACAGTATAGAATGAGTAAACACAAATATCCCTGGGAGCAAGATGAGATTTCATTTCTGACAAATTATAATGCCAAACTATCTGGTGTTACGTACTTACTTTGTGCGTTAAACTACTACAAATCCTGACATACAAAGCGAGTTGGAAATGGGAACAAGAATTTACTACCAGCCTCTATTCTGCTTGAATACAAGTTTGAATAGGATAAGAAACTGTAAACTGACCAGAATACAAGGACATGAATTAATTCAGACTATTGGTGTACCTGGACAATATGAGTTGTAGCTGGTCAGTCAGTGAAAACAGACAAACGGATGTATCACATACTGGATTATTAATATTGTGAATAACACCTTTCCACTGTTTTTTTGTTAATACATCTTGTTACTAATACCTACTTGTCGAGTAAACCGTCGTACAATTAAGTGTAGTCATACAGTTTCGCCAAATCCAAAGACAAAAAATCTTACTTGTAGCTCTTTAACATTAACAGTTTAATCCTTGTACCTACGTTTCGAAGCAAATAATTCAATGAGTTGTTACATAGGAAGATTTACGCTAGCACACATCACTGTCTATTTCTTAATTGTAAGATGTTTGAGAATAGACTTACCTCACTAGGCTTCGTGGCTTAAGTAATCAAAGCATGGTGTATCCAATAAGAGTTCTAGAAAGTTTAAGATACCCGTGCCTAATTAAATGGAAAGAAAGAGATCTACCGAGTAATATCTACTTAACATTTCACATTAAAACATAAAGTTCAAGGAGATTCTCATGCCGTATCAGGTATAATGGTTTCGTCGAAAGTTCACCGAGAATTTGCATAGACAACGTATCATTACTTCAGTAACTAATCTGTGATCCCCAATTTTATTTCAACTTATGGACATAAAATGCAATGCGCTAAAATGTCAGTTGCCACCAATTATACAAATACATCGGCATTTAAAGTAAAGTATAATTTAGAACGGAATTTATTATTAGCACTGTCAAAACAATCAGGATATTATTTTAAATATGTATTCATAAAATGAAAATGATGATCTGAAGAAGTAACCTTGATTGCTTGCCAATAATGTTCACATATTTTGGTATTTCACTTTTTATGTTTAGACTTTGGATATTGATGTCACAAAATAAACAGACAGCGTAACAGCTTTATTAGCAAAGCGACAAGGTTAAAACAAATGTCAAACGAACAAGTTATGTTAGGGTTTTTCGCCAACAACATTATTTTACAGAAAACAAAACAAACAGTCAGCACGTAGCACAAACGTTACACACTTAACACTGTAGAAATAAATATATTTGTGTACATAAGTTATATATGGACAGATTAAGATGATAAAATCGGTCAATTGCCCCCACCCCAAAGGTTGATATTGTTATTTACTTTTCTTAGATTTGTTTGACACATCAGCCTCCTGAATTTTCTTCTCAGCTTCCGGTTCATCTTCATAGCTAGAAAAAAAATTGAATAAACTAGTCTACCATATTTTGAAAATAATAATATAATCCAATTAGAGTTGATGACTATACATCTTATGGATTATGCCTCATAAATATATTTCGATCAGAAGTCGGGTGATCTGGCTTAGCATACGTTAGCGTGCATTTACTTTTCATCTTTTCGATCTCAAGTTTTAGTATCCCTTCTTACATACTATTGTCTTTTGTCCCGAATATTATTAATGCTTAATCCTTCTCGTTATGTTTACTACTAAATTATTATATATTGTATCCTCGTGTTAATTTCATCTCAATGTGTTAACGTGATATGGCATCTTAGACCAATGCATATTTGTTCCAGGATCTACATTGTTAACAACTGACTGAGGTTTCGATGATGATTTAATCTAACTTGCGTGGTTATTCATATTAATTATTAAAAAATAACAGCTTTAGAGATAATTCCTACTTAGTACTTAATTCAGGTAGTTCTGACACATGTATACAAAAAAGAACTTAGGTTATATAAATACACTTCCGAGGTGTAGCAGTTCCTCACGTTAAAATAAGATAAAGTAAGCAACGATTTAAACAAACCAACGAGAAGATTAAGACAAAAATGTAGAAAATATCTTACTAAATTTAAATGTCAGAAAACGAGCATTTCAATCATTCCACTATATCGATTTTTGGAAATGTATAATTAGATTTATGGTTTAACAACTGATGACCTTAGCTTAGTTTTTGCTAGAACAAATAAATATCTTGTGCATATGGTGATAGTCACATATACACAAACATCACCATCAGATTACTTATTAACTTGTATTATGTGCCTGCTTAATTAGCCGATATTAATGACTTAATATTTTACATTTTTAAGCAGTATATTGTGCATAAATTGTGTAGATAAATCAATTAAGTTTGCTATCTGTATAGAGATGACAGAGTCATTATCAGTGATAACAGAACATTATTCCATTGTGAATAAAAGTCAATGCAATCAAGTTCCTAAAACTAACATTCATTAAATGCACTAATTATCCATTTATTTTTACTTTCGCTACATAGGTATAATGTTTAAAATTAGGAAGTAAAGACACCAGAAGATATACCTTGAAATATGTTGAATTTAGTGTCAAATACATTCACATTTTATCTTTTTTGCTCACCAACATTTCCTAGACAAGTGGCTACACATTACTGTAGTGAACGAGAATTCATGTTGGGAAAACCAATTTATTGTTTGATGCAAAATTACACAGTGGCTTAGTAAAATGTGAAATACATCATTTGCGCATCTTCTTTGCGTTATCCTTTCTACACTCCATTATCCCTCTAATCCTGTTGTAATCACAATTGCTCTCCGTTTCCCTTCATGTTCTCTTCAATTCAATCTTCTACTGGCAGGCATTTTACTTCCGACTGCTGCTATATACTACTTATATCTGTCAACATAAGTAGCCTACACCGTCGTATGACTGACTATGTGCATCTATCAAACAAAAATAATATTACAATATACGATAGGTCAGTCTTGTTAAATCATTTCCAATGAGAAGCTTATATAATTTTTTACGATAATTAGATTATAGGTTGGAATGTATTGACAATATGAAAAAAAGCTTAAAGGTTTGTCTGCTAGGAAAAAACATCAGAACAGGAACTCACTTGAACATTGCACTAAGATCATTTTTCACTAAAGCCATAAGCAATGGTGCACCCAAACAAGCAGGTACCAGGTAAAGTAAAGCCGGCTAGATTAATGAAAAGGCAGTAAACATAGTTATTTATATAACAGAAGTTTTACTCCAATAGAAATCTGCAAACAGAAAGTGTGGAATAATTTTAAAATAAGGAAGCTAGAATAACTGGATATTAAGGCTAATATTTCCTAAAAAATAAATCCCCTGCTACGAACAAAACATGATGGAATAGGATAAAAACAATACATACTACTTATTCTACAGGAAATAGAATCCTGAAATGGATCATAACAATCAATGAATCTTTTCAGTGAATGATGATAATACTACGGAAAAGTTTAACAGTAATTTAAATTTTTGGTGAAATTATTCAGATAAAATGGATGGTACTGAAGTCAATTAGTCAGTCACAAAGTAGAATCTAGTACACATATTGACGTTCACAAACCGTAGACTTGTGACCATTATTATTACATCTACTTTATATGTATTGCATAAATACTAACTGAATATTTGTCATATAACCTGTCAAATCACCTATGATTGCTTTTCTTAACTCGTTTTGTATTATTTATCTTGCATTATATGTACAATCATAAACACGTAATCCTAATCAATATCTGAAAACTTTGAAAACACGGAGAGAATGAATTTAGGAGGATATTCTATGTTCGAACTAATTTTTCACATTGAAATATTCGACTCTTTACCGTCATTGAAATTCTAACCTTCCATCAATGGTGAATTTTACCACCAGTTAACTGTCCTTCTTTAGAAAGTGCGTCCGACAAATATCGTAGTACTAGCCGGAGACTTGAATGCTCAGGTTAGGCCTCTAGGCACAAAACAGAGTCGTTTAGGTGGCCGATAGGGACTCGTTGGTCGCAGATCAAATAACGGCAATTGACTACTTCAACTTTGCACAGATTACCTGTTTCTGGTTAGCACAAACTTTCGGCAGTCATCGCCGACGTGCGACTTGGTGTCCTCCATCTATGTCTCAAACCTGGACTTAGATTGGTCACGTCGCGATCAGCTATTGCTGGCATGGCCGTGTACAAGACTACCGCTCCTTTTGGAGTACCTATCTGGATTCTCATCATGCCCTTGTTTGCGCCAATCTTATCTTACGTTTCAGTGGCCAACGAATTCATCGTCCTAAACGGATTGATATCAGTAAACCGATTGCAGCTTCTGTTGCAATTAAATATCAAACCGAGTTAGGTTCAAGGCTAGCCATCAATCCACCGAAAAGTATAGATGAGCACTGGCTACATTTACATGACGCCATGGAAATGGCGAATATAGTCGCCTGCAGCTTCACGAAGCTTCCCACTTATAAGCGCTGGGTTTATACAGACTCTTTACAACTCATTGAGATACGTCGGTCTACTCCGGGTGACCGTGAGTTTGACCACAAACGAAGGCTGTCACGTAATGAAATTGGGCAAAGCTTGTGTAAGGAATTGAATAATATACATGTAAATGCTTTTCATGCCAGGATATTACTTTGAATAGTTTGACAATCCCTCTGACCGAAAACATATTCAGGGTAAACATTACAATAGCTTTTTTGTTTATTACGTAGAACAAATGTGAGAAACTTTACTCTGAAACGAAAACTCAAAAACTGTTCGCTCACCTGAGCGTGTTTGAATACGTGCATCATTACGAAAGTCATTATGATAGCAACGATATAGGCTGCGTATCCGGAGTAGAAGTAAGCATGACTATTATTGCGTCCAAGTCTGTGGAAAAAACAGTAGAGAATTAATGTTTGGACCTAATTAGTGAGTTTAAATGAAGAAGAATAATTTTAAAAAGAAAATAACCCCATCAATAGCGACAAGCGTAAAAAATCTCTGAACCGCAGAAAGACGGGTGTCTATAATAATTTCAGAACTGACATTGCAGTATTACTGTGCGATGATACCCGAGCCATGCAATCCGCAATTAATGTCCATAGGTATGGCATGTGTTTTGCACCTTCTAAATGCAAAGTAATTTTACAAGTCTAGCAGGAGCTTGAACCTGCAGTAAGCAGATAGAAGTAGTCTAGAAGTTCGTGTATCGGACTCCGATAAGCATGCAACTTCTGTTGCAATTAAGTATCAAACCGAGCTAGCTCCCATTCCACCGAAAAGTATAGATGAGCACTGGTTGCAACTTCATGACATCATCAGAAGCCGCTTGCGGCTCCGCGAAACGTCCCGCTTATAAACGCCGGGTTTCTTCAGGCTCCTTACAACTCATCGACGCCCGTTGGTCTACTCCGGGTGACCGTGAGTTTGACCACAAACGAGGGATGTTTACGTAATGAAATTGGGTAAAGCTTGCGTAAGGACCGAGAAGCCTGGTGGTCAGAGCGTGCTAATGAGCTGGAAGCAGCAGCTGCATCTTTAAACTGCCGAAAGTTCTTTCAACTCATCCAAGCCACTGGCATTAAGAGTCTGGTGTGAGCGAAACAATCTGTGAGGATGACGGGATGCCAATCACTAACATCCATCGACGTCTTGGACGATGGGTAGAATTATTCGAAGGGCAGTTTAACTGTCCAGCTGCTCGGGCGACATCGGTCAGACTGTCCTACCCTCCATGACCTGTGACGACTGATCCACCAAATGAGGCGGAAGTCCGCAAGGAACTCCAACTATTGAAACGCCACAAATCACCTGGCCCAGATGACTTACCTCCGGCTCTTTTTAAAGATGGTGGTGACTTTCTGACTAAGGAACTGATGACGTTGTTTACAAAGGTCTGGGAGCTAGAGAGTGTTCCAACGTCATGGAATGAGTTAATAGTTGTTCCTATCTATAAAAAGGGTTCACGTCGTTTCTGTAACAACTATCGGGGGATAAGTCGACTTCCGATTGCATCCAAGCTATTGACTTCCGTCATACTTCGTAGGTTGTTCAAAACCCGAGGGAGATTGACTCACGAGGAGCAGACTAGATTTCGTTCTGGTCGAGGATGTATTGCTCATATCTTCACTCTCCGCCAACTGTTAGAACACCGCCATAATTTTCAAAGGCCAACAATCGTAGTGTTTCTTGACATCAGGGCTGTCTTCGATTCGTTGGATAGGTCTGTTCTCTGGGATTCTCTACTGAAGAAGGGTGTGCCTGAGAAGTTTATTAGCAACCTAAAATCCCTATACACAAACACCTCAGGCAGAGTGGGGGCATACAACCACCTTTCTCCACTGCTCCATTCAAACAGTCAGGTCAGACAGGGTTGCCCAATCTCACCATTCCTCTTCAACTTTGCCATCGATGACATTCTGGAAACAGTTCTGATGGATGTAAGTAATGGCGGTGTGGATCTATTGCCTGGAGAAAGACTTCTCGACCTTTAGTGTGCGGATGATATTGTCTTACTGTGCGATAATGCCCAAGCCATGCAATCCGCACTTAATCAGTTGGCAATCAGTGTCCGTAGGTACGATATGTGCTTCGCACCTTCGAAGTGCAAAGTACTTTTACAAGACTGGCAGTATTCTAATCCTGTACTCACCCTGGATGGTGAGCAGATAGAAGTAGTCGAGAAGTTCGTATATCTAGGTAGCTGCATAAGTGCTGGTGGTGGCGTGAGTGATGAGGTCAACGCACGTATAGTGAAAGCCAGAGCGGCTTATGCCAATCTGGGCCATCTTTGGCGTCTTCGTGATGTTAGTCTGGCTGTAAAACGTCGGATCTACAACGCATCGGGGAGAGCAGTTCTGCTCTATGCTTGTGAAACCTGGCCTCTCCGAGTTGAGGATGTTAGACGACTCTCCGTGTTTGATCATCGTTTGTCTCCGAAGGATTGCTGACATCCAGTGGCAACACCATGTTAGTAATGCAGAGGTTCGGCATCGTGTGTTTGGGCGCAGAGACGATAATCCAACTGGTGTCACCATCTTGAAACACCGACTTCGGTGGCTTGGACATGTTCTACGAATGTTGTCCCAGAGAATTCCACGTCGGGCATCATTTTCCGACACTGGGACTGGTTGGAAAAAGCGGAGAGGTGGTCAGTGTATGACATGGTGTCGGGATATGAAAGGAAGCTGCAAGGGGCTGGCTTGTGTTGGTCCTTCACGACTCCCTGGTTGGGGTCCGAGAGATGGTGCGACGCAGTGGCTAGAGACGTTATCAGATATGGCTCAGAATAGAAGCCAGTGACGATCCTGCTGTAATCTTCGTTTGCTTTCCGTATGAAAAGTTGTTGTATCTTCCCCAACTGAAAGATTTCCGGTTGTAACTTTGCGTTTTCCCCCATTATTATTATTATCACTATTATTATTATTATCGTTACACTACCTTACACTAATCTGGTTGTTATTGTCCTTCTTTTTTCCCTTCCCATACTCATTGTTTTGTGTGGCGCATATGTATTTGGTGCCCTCTTGTACCAATATTTATGTGTTCAAATAAATAAATAAATAAGCATGCCTGTGTTCCAAAACCTGGCGAACGGTGGATATGTGGTCGATGCAGCCACGACCAGGTCTGAAGCCAGCCTGATTTTCTCGTGTTTGCAGATCACGAGTGTTAGTTAGGCGTCCGATAATTATTGAGGCTATTATTTTAGATGTTATAAATCATATTTCGCTTCATCCCAGCTGCAGTCAGTGAGAGAGTAGGAAGAAACGATGAAAAGGTAATGACGTGTGTCCCTATCCTTTCGAGTCCTTACGGAGCCGTCTAGCCGAGAAGTACATAGACGACTATCAACGGGGATCCACTCTAATAGTGCTTGTTTTGCCCTTGTACTCAGTGCTATGCCTACACCTGCCAGTCCACGAGAACTAGCCATCGAGTCGCCAGATACATGGAGGGTGTATCTCGTTGGCTGTCCGTTTTGGTGAGGTGAAGTCAAGTGAATGACCACACTAGGATCCTGTACGTGCGTTTTAGAGACACAACAAACATCAATGGTACGAGATTCTGGGGTTTTAGCCAAGGAGGTCTGTTGGTCAATTTTACACAGTGTGTACGTCTATGGCTACAATGTGTAGTTTGGAGCGAGGTTTCAATAGACCTGGGGGCATTTTGCGCACTAGAATCGTTGGCTATGATGACACTTGAGGAGGAGGACAAAAGAGGAAGTTTAGTGTTGAAAGTCGACGTAGAAGGAATAATGGGAATTGAAGAGAGTGATTGATTATGAATACAGTGATCTTGAGTGCTGTTAGAGGTATGAGGGCAGTTATCACTTCTTGGTTGCAAGGGTTCTTCTGGAGGTACATGAAAAGGAAATCGGGTTAGAGGTTATCTTAGTGACCTGAGGGCGTGTCCGCAGTGCCCAAGGGACAAGTGTTTGAGGTCGGCCACACACGACCATTTTGTGAGTAATTTTCATGTTAGCTCCGTACTTGAGACCTTACCGCCGAAGACGGATATCCGTGCGATAAAGCGAGGTGCGCAATTTTAGGGTCGACATTTTCTAACCCTGCCCCTCCATTTGGTAGGCAGCATCGCTGTCATTACACTTGCACCCTTATTAACTAACAAAGCTTTATGGACAAAGGAATATACAAAACAGCGCCAAAATGCACTCAATTTGAAAAGACATATTTTGAGGGTTCTTGTATGATTGCAAAGATGGCAACTAACTTACTTTGTATCGAACCTAAGAAGCATGGCGATAAATATTCCTGGAACAACTATATCACCAAGACCAAGCAAAGCTAACTGTTTGCCGAATAATCCATGTGAAAGAAAATCACGCGGAAAAGTAACTAAAAAGATAAGGTAACAACATTCAACATTTTATCACAATGTTTAAATGAACGAAAATAGACTATAAATAATTAGCGATATAGCTTAATTGATGTTAACAAAATAACCATCCTAATATTACAGAAATGCTTGCATGCAAGGCAGTCCTAACTTCTAGGAAGGCCGAACACTAAATGTTTGTACTTAAGCTACTACTGTTTTTAATAGTTAGTGGATAAACATGAATAGATGGGCAACCTCAGATGTATTTATTATGAAACCCACACACATCATCGTTACATTATTTCCAGAGTAATTTCTTACGGTTAAGCTACGATAACGATGCAACCAGGTGCAAGCAAACATATATTTACATAAAAAGTGAAGGGTTGAGATCCAGATGATCAATTTGGGGAGTCAAGGATTTGGCACACTAGCAATAGGTCTTCAGACAAGAGTATATGGTTGAATCACTTTTAGTATTTGAAGTTTGATACCAAAATGCAGTAGACAGTAACTCGGTAGGTGTGACAACCCTATCGCTACAGGCAGTGCAGGTTAACAATATTATTGCTCATTCGTTAAGTGTACTACACATATGCTATAAGATACCTACGAATCCATCAACCACTAGGTCAACGCTTGACTACAGATTGCGTAAGCGAGAAATAAAAGAACTTTCAGATCCAGTAGGATATTCTATCCATTGCGGTTGATATAATAGTTAAACATCCAACCATCCCTAACTTTTTATAAAAAAAACCAGTTAAAATGGTTCAGTTTTAAAGCATTCTTACTTCCGAAACACAGGAAACACATGGACATCCCTAATTTTCTCAGTAGAATACTAATACTACAAACTCAGCGTCCGCTCAAGTTGATTAGACTTCTGGGTAAGAAACCTAACTAATAAAAACCAGAGATATACAGGTTTTCTAAAAATGGGATTCTGAAGACGATGAGTGATTATTTATTATTTTATTTGAACACAAATAAGTATTGGTACAAAGAGGCGCTGAATAAATATGCACCACACAAGTCATTTGATTTGTGTATGGACTGTAATACTGCCCGGGTGTTCAGATCGAAGCAGATGGTTTTCTTAAGGGGCCACACTCGGAGCCTTCGACCTAAATGTTTGATTCACAAGGAGCAACGTAAGGAGATACAGTCTCATGGTAGCCGGTAGCCAATAATTGGTTCATACGCCATTTGTTTCCCTAGGACCCAGGAGTCCATGTGCACCATTGCTTTGGAACCAGGGTTTTCCAACTTCGTTAGGTGGATCCTCCATATCCACCAACTTGGTTAGAGCGCCGGACATTCGCTTTTTGTCCTCTCATTTTCATAAACAACACCCCCGTCACAAGAAGGCTGTGAGTACGACTTCCCTGACAGTGGCTGTATACGCGCGGCCATGTGAAAGCACATGAAGAGGGAGAACTGACTCTCCCCACCCTCGGCCGTACCAGGGCATTTGGAGGCCATTGATTTGGGCACCCGGGCAGTATCACAGCCCACACACAAATCAAATGACTTGTGTGGTGCATATCTATTTGGTGCCTTCTTGAACCAATTTCTATGTGTTTGAATAAATAATTAATTAATTGGTGACGGGAAAATTATCAACAATTATTATTGAAAGCTTGCCAACGTACAAGCATATACTAAGTTAATTCCAGTAAACTTACTGAGAGTCATCTGCAAAAAATTGCATACAAACGACTATTGCACTTTACAACTCATTTGGTGTATCAATAAAAGTGATCAAATGGAAAACTTGGAAATTTGCTAAGGTTACCTTGAAACTTTTCAAGTGTAATTACTTGGTTTAATTACTACAATATTAACTAGTTAAATACAACAATCTCAGCAATGTGATTACCTTCATTAAATGAACTAGTTTAGTCTTAATGGCAAATTAACGAAACGACGACATTATACTCAGGATTCATTAGTGATATAATAAAATGGTATCAAGTAAAACGTAGTAATAAACCTCAGGAAATACAGATCTGTTTGACGAAAGTTATAAGACTACTTACCTTTGATTGGAATATCTAGGTTTTTTGCGACAGCCATCATGACACCAGTTCCAAACACCTGGACTTAAAGTATAGCACGAAATCTAACTTACCCAAAATATATCATATACGAACAGTCCGCAAAGAAGTAATATGCCATTTACGAACTTATTCAACCTTATGAATTCGATGGCCAAAATAGCAACTGTCACTGCAATAAAATTGTTCGCAATCCAATGCTACCTAATAAAGCTATTTATTTTGACTTACTCCTGAAAAATAGTACCAAGTGCCAAGCAAAATACCGATGCCAGTGCCTATGAAATCCTTCGACTCGACTGAAAAATCATAGTTGTCTATCAGGTGAGATGTAGACAATCATGGCTACCTACCCAATAAGTTCCATTGAGATTCGGAACCACCTGAGTTCTCTAAACTTCTTGAAAACTCAAACTTGAACCGCATATTTTTTACACAACCCGGCATATACGGGCGAAAGATGGGTCTACACATACAGTTAGCAGAATAAGTACTTACGACAGGAACCGGGATATTGCACAAGCACCCATAAAAGAGAAATATAACTTCATAACGGAGTTGATGTACTGAATAGGAATGAACTTTAACATAGTAGAACTATATACACTGACAAACCTTAAAGACGACGTAAATCCCGAAAAGTGCAGCACTGGCGAGAAATGGAAACAGTGCTGCATCTTTACCCGATACAACTTCTATCTCATCAGTTGACTTCTTACTAGTTATCGAACGGAAAGAACCTATATAAATAGGTATTATAGCCAGGAGAAACAGTGCTGAATTAGTAATCATGGAATCTAGATTGAACTCCAGGTTTGTAATGGTCCCGTTCGTATCGCTCACATTTCTTATCTCGCTTAGGTTCATGTTCACAAACTGTACGCGTACAAATTCAAACAGAGTACTAAATACGTAGATGTGATCACGTAACGTCTGACGCAGAATAAGAAGTATATTGGCCAATGTATTGTCATAAGACTTTACCATTCAGTATTGATTGTCGTAAAGAATTAGACTAAAAGTTTGATATTAGTCATAAAATGGAATTTATTAATAGATTTTTTTCTGTTCCCGTACAATTCTGTCTGTCTTCAGTAGCGAAGATAGGTCAGTCGACCTATATTAATCCTTGGGATTTGTAGTACTATGAAGATCTAAATACGCTTTGAATGTATGAACGGAATATACCGATATTACGCGTTTTGGTAGAGAATTCAAGTAATTCATTAATCTACACTAAAAACGGAACTTCAGATGTAAACGATTTGATCGTGGTTACGGCCTTTCTTAGAAGACCAGGCTCAGGCGAAGAAAAAAAGTAAGAAATATTTCTACTGGCATCTCAATTCACTGTACGGTTAGCCAGTATAAAACCACCTCATAATCTGTAGTAAACTGACGGAAATAGGTTGAAGCGTCTTAGTCAGATTTCATAAATTAGGTCAGTGTCACATTTAACCACTTCGGCTTCTTTTCGTTGAACTCGTTCTAACATATTCGCCTTAAGCTGGAAGCAAGGACTCGCAAATTGAAACTCATATACCAAATGAAGCCTCAAAAGCTTTGGTTACTTACTCATTTACGCTAGTTACCCCTCGTGGGGGAGCAACATGAGTTTCGTAATAAGCGTTCATGCTTGACTAACTTACTTATTACGAGAGAGGACTGGACAGAGGCCCTAGATGACGGTCTGTCTCTCGATGTGACGTTCACCGATTTTAGCAAAGCGTTTGACAAGGTTTCACACTTAAATCTTGCTCAGAAGCTCTCGAGCTTCGGAATAACAGGTGCTATACAGGAACGGACAGGAAACTTCTCATGTAACCGCAGACACAGGGTGAGGGTCAATGGAACGCTATGCGAATGAAAGCCCGTCAAAAGTGGTGTATCCCATGACACCACCTTAGACTCTCTACTTTTCCCTTTCTACGTTAATAAATTACCGCTATTGCTTGGATCGTTGGCACTACTGTTTGCGGATGATGCCAAAATCTGCAGAACATAAGAAGTGAGGCCGATCATTTTGACCTCCAAGCTGACTTAGATGAATTAATTAGATCGGCTCGAGGTTGGGGCTTGGAAGTTAATTATGGGAATAGTGTACTCATTCACATCAGACACGGTAATAGTTATCATTATACTATTGATGGTACATATCTTCCACGCGTCCAAGTTCATAGACTTAAGAGTAATAATATGTCATGACTTGAAAACAAATATGCACGGCAACTCAGCTGCTGCCAAAGGTTATCGTGCGTTACGATCACTTCGCCGAGCATGTGGGAAGGAAATTAGTGAAGGGTCTTTCTAAACTTCCTTACGATGAGCATTTGAAACCCCTAAACCTTTTCTCCTCGTCGTATCGTACGACGCGAAGTATCTTTAATTATGATTTGGGTGTTAATATATCTTATCCTTTTGCTCTGTCCACCACTAATAATCTCCGAGGTCATAGAAAGAAGGTTCACAAAACGCGATCTAATAGACTCAAAGTGGGGTCCCATTTTCCTCATCGAGTAGTCAATGACTGGGATGCCTTACCCGAACAAGTGGTATCAGCCCCATCAGTAAATATTCTCAAGGAGAGGCTGGATCTCCACTGGAAGGCAGTCTGTTAAGATTGACACAGGTTCACCAACCTATTATCCTTATTACTAAAGACTGGATGCCTATTATTATAGTAGCTAAGACAAATGTGCTAATATTGAACAAGAACACAGTTCTACTGCCTCATCAACGCTTATTCTGACTTGTCCTGTAGTGACAGCCATGATGTTTTCTTCAGGAAACACTAAAGAATATGTTCAAGATGTCATGTCAACTCGAATCATTGTTCCCTAGTTGATCTATATTGACTTTATCAAAGTGTTCATGGGATTATTTAAGTCTTTTCATTTATTGTGTGCTTAGCTTTAAGGGTCGTATGATTACGAACAAGACTCACCATGGTACGACTCTTTATTCTTTAGTGAAATCACTCTCGTGTTGTGCCATAAATGTAACGGTCAGGCTCTTCTCACTAACTTCACTACTTAAAATGGGTATGAGTGCGAATCTTTACAATAACAACAGCTATCGTACCTTTACATTGTCTAGAATAACACGAGATAGGGCAGTCAAAAATTTCCACATATTTCGCTATTACCAAAATATTTATATGAACAGTTTAATTCTGGTGCCCAAATAATTGATAACACAGCACGTGAACTTCAACGTATCATAATGCACCCTATTATTTGCGTGACTGACAGGGGGAATTTTAACGTCTCTTTTTACATGGGATTATATTGACGCCCATCTTAACCGCCATAGGTCCACCCAAGTGATCAAATTCTATGGAAAACATGGAATGTCTTTTTCTCAGGCAGGAACGAAAAACATGGTTGGCCTAATATATACCAGGGGCATCTTCCCAATCACTAACCGTCTGGAGATAACGTCCACAAAGCGTCCCATTTCTCTTAAAACGAACTGTAGGAGTGTCTTTCCTGTTTCTCCATATGGGTGTTTTCAAAAAGTGAATTGGCTTAACCGTACAGAACAAGTGAGTAACGTTGATTGGAATGCTCTAATCGGACCTTCTATGTGCTAAGAGTTTTTTTCGATCTCGTCGTTCCATGAAATTCCCATAAGTTTTCTCATAATCGTGAACTTTTAGAAGGAAGTTTGCGATAAAATAACTAGGTTACTTTAAATCTCAGATCCACAAATTTGCGAGCTTTTCAACCCTCGTAAATTTACTCGTATTTCGTAGAAATATTTGACCTAAATTAGCTTGGGGTCTTATTAAAAAGGAATTTGATGTTTTGACTAGCGAGAATAAGGTTTTTCATGTGTGAGTCAAGTTTACTCGTCTGAGTCAAGCGATAAATCACCGTTAGGACGACAACACCGGGTTACGAGTTAAGATTGAGTTTCTGTCTAATTGAATGGGGCTTTTTTTGCTTATTACATACCTCTGTAGAGTGATAAACTTTTATGCTTGACCAAAATAGAACCACCCAACTTGCTCCACGCAGTAGCCTTATTAATGTTGCAATGAGACAACAAAATGCTTTTCGTTTATTTCGCCGATGGATGGAGGTATGTATTTAAGTGACTCTAAGCCTTATGCACTGACTCCACGACAAAGCAGATGAATTTTATTCTAAATGCCCACATCTTCTATTGTTTCTGAGTCTGTAAGACGTATGGCCAAAAACTATAGGACTCTGTGTGTAAGATCCATTTGGAATGTTTTGTGTGTGAAAATCTCTCCTTGTATACACTTGCAATTTGTCTCTATTGATTCCTTTAGTTGTGCATTTTGTTAATCTTTTTGATTCCATTTGAGTGGGTAATATTTGTATTTTATTATAGTTTTTATTTTTCTTACGCCTGTACTAAGTTTCCGTGTTTCTTCCTGAACTGCATTTATGTTGTTTTACTTGATACTTAGTCTTGGTGACAGCCATATTGGTTGGTTTCTCCTTTTGGCTGTGTTGCTTGTATTGACTGGAATTGCGCGTTTTTAATTGTAAATTGAGGCACTCTTTTAGAATTGGAAACACTGTGTTATAAATCAACGGGATATTATCTCTTGAACGAATCTTTGTGTGGTATATCCAGATAGGATAGAATAGTATTTATTTGTTGAGACTGGTAATTTTCTCGCATCCGTTATCAAATTCTCACTTATTTTAATTTAGATTTGATTAAGTGAACAAATGTTGGTTGAATAGCTGGGTGGTCATATTTGTTAAGGTAATAATATACACTCAAATTTATTATGAATTTCAGAACTTTCGTTCTACCCAATCACTTTGTTTTGGTTTCATTCGGGTAAGGGCGCGTATCTAACACACTTAGACAGATATTCTTCAGTCCAAACCTTGGTTTTGATCTTGCACTGTGCATCCTCTTCCTAATAATCTCTTCCAAATCAATATTGGGCTTCCATGGACAAATTTATTGTCAATAATGAAGTTATTTTGTCAAAATCTGCACAATGACTGGAACTAAAATGTTCGGTTTGAACTCAAAAGTGACCCAAAAGAACGACAATAAAAAAGTTGATCCCAATCACAGCGTTCTATTGTATAAGATGTGAAGCTTCCTTGAGTCATCCGAAGTCCTTGGTTATATTGAAACAAAATTTGATGCATAAGTTTGCAGTACTACTCAATGGAAACACAACTTGCCAAAACTACAGAATGTCTCCATAATGTCTCTCTGCTGTTACGCAGTTAGACGTTTTTCTAACGCAAAGTCCCATACTATGCAGAAAGGAACAGTCACAAAACATAACCGGTACGTGCCTGAGGATCAAGAGGAATGTACTGAACGAAACGAGATCGAACCCCTACATACAAAACCGAAGTTAAATAACAGACACTGCTAGGTGACAGCTATACGGAAACAATAAGCAACCGGTTCGTGACCTAACTTTGAGTTCATTAGGACAAGGCTGACTGAAGGCTGCCCGGCATCACGTGGAAACAAAATGTTATGCTGAAGAGAACCTCATTAAAGGGTCAGGATATCCAGTCGGATTTAGAGATGAGATCTAGTATATGGTTGTGATTGTTGGGTATTTGGTCAATTGAGTCTGGTATCAATAACAATTCGGTTGTGCGCAGTAGGTTTTAGATTAACCATTAAAACGGTTGATTAATATATAGCTAGTTAACAATGAAAACGTCTGGTCATGTACTTGTGTTTCGAAAATATGCTGTCGGCAGTACATAGCTATTAGAAAACGAAAGTTTCCTATCGTTCAGCAAAGAGAAACCTGCTTTTACGCTAGTCACAAACGAACTGATTACCATTTAAGCACTATCAGAAGTATCGTTATGCCTGTCAAAACCCCATCCGACTACTCGCTCACGATGTTCATGATGGAGCTGTTACGACTCTAAACAGGGTCCTTCTCAAGTAGTTGAGATCCTTCGACACTTAAAAATAAATCTAATGAGGGGTGGTCGGCTTGTTTCTTGTCTGAACGTTCTGTAATGACTCATAGTACTGATTCATCACACGTGAAAAATCATCGAATACAATCCTGATTTCAATTACCCTGA